CGGCATGTCAACACACCCGTGAGGTCCGTCTCCCACAGGAACGTCGGCACAGAGAATCACACCACACGGCGCTACGAGAGAGAGTGCATTCTTCGATCGGGACGACTGTTACCGTAAATTCTTGTCACCTGACGAGTTCAGATGGAAGACCACGGCAGCACTGAGCAAGGAGAACAAGAGAGGAGAGCAGGAGAGGAGGATGGTCACTTGACAACAGCCATTGTTATGTGTCTAAACAGGGAGTATAAGCAACATGTTTTGCGACGGAGACATAAGATAATCTTCCAAGACTCGGTTTCAACCATCACAAAGGACGGGTGTGTCACAACTAGGCAATTATGAACACACACAGCACACCCACACTGCAATGACCCAACCAACAATTTAGGGCGAGGGCTCCAATTCGTGGTAGCCTCTCCCCTGCTGCTCTCCTTCCATACACTGTAAAATACTTCTAAAATCCGACATACAACAATATACTGCAAATGAGTATACGTAACTCGCCAGTTGGCGAGACCCTCCCCTGGGTTCTACGCTTGGGACGCCGTCCAACTCCCCGGGGATGGGCTTCGCCGGACGACGTGAACTAAGTCACAGCTGGTGTCCGTGTTGCTTGGGCACCGCCGTGCATAAGGAGGGATCGCGGCTCGCACTCACTAAAACCCCGGCGCTGACTATCTATAGGAGGTAACAGGCCTCCCGATCCTGACACTCGAACGTCTTTCCTGTCTGGCTGTCTTCGTCGCCGGTAGCTCTATCCGCTGCGAACGACACCCTCCCACCCAAAAGAGTGCCGAGTCACATGTAGCGTCCTCCAACCCCCATTCACAGTTCTCCACTGCCTTTTCTCTGTCAGCTGTCAATTTCCCAGCTGTTAGTCCCTCCGCTGATTAACACACCTGTTTCAGTTCAGTTAATCAGTGCCCATGCAGGGACATTCACATCACAGTATTAACGTGTCACATGTTTTGAATTGCCAATCAGAATCGAGTATTCAACTAAGCCATGTAATAAGTAAGGGATAATTTGCAGCCAGGTGGTTATTAATACAAAACCACACAGACATGGTGATCAGGATTCTGACACTTAACCATCTCAAACGTTTCTTGCTCTGCACAATTATAGAAATGTATATTCTTCCATCCTAATTTCTGATAGAGAAAACTGATGTAATGCCTAACAATATCATTAAATTGTCCAATTAAAATATTTTTTAAAGTAAAACATATGTCTTTTGCTTAATTGTATTCGTTCTCTGTACTGTACATCAGCTAAAAGTATGCCCACCAACAAGTAGACAATTCTGCTTACAATTATACCATTTATTAAATGTTAATATTCTGCCTAGTATACATGCTAAGCAAAGTGCTATGAAACAGCAACACATTATTATATTGTATCTCAGGATGTCTTATTAAAGATGTATTGTAAATACACTGATTGCCAACAATTAAAAAAAGGTTGATCAACAATCAAGAATCTCTCCAACTAAATGGTTTTAAAGCTTGTTAACATGCCCATATATGGTGTTTTTAACTCTGGAGACTACAAAGAAAACAAGGTGTCAAATGCCACAATCCTAAGAAACTAATCAACTTGCAGGTGTGGCTTTCCATATAATGAGTGTAACTTTATATACAGCAAAACTAAGTGGTACAAAAAATCTTCCAGATAGTTTAAGTTTCAGTAAGATATGGGTTGTTAAACTTACTGAATGAGTAAAAGGGGTATAGCTACATCCAAGTACTTGAAGGCAGTTTTATGTAATTTTGATGAATAGAAGTTTGTTTTTATGGGTCAATGCCAGGAGAGGAACTTTAATTATACTTGATGTTAATCATTAAGGTGCTCTCCTTCCCAGTAGCACATAAGACTAAACTTGAGACTGCATCAAATACTTAAAAAAATATATATTAAACTGTCCCTGAGACAGCAAATATTTAAGCATCACACTGCACTAAATTGAATTTCCATTGTAAGATGTAAAGTTGAAATGTGTTTGCAGGAAACAATCAAAGCCATTTCAGCTTTTAGTGTTCTTTGCAGCTAATATATGCTGACTGTGATGGAAGAGCGGCTCTCTTCTCTGCGGCACAAAACAAGCGGATCAGCGGTGAAGCTGCAGACTCATCTGACTTGAGTGGATGCCTCGAGGAAGGAGTGGTATTATTAGATTAACTGGGATGAAGTGAGTTAGATGTTATTTCTATCTGCCTGGTTTCATGAGGTGCAGCTGTGTGTGCACATAGGAAAATGTGCGTGCAAAACTGTTAATTTATTGCATTTGCATTGTGTATATGTTATCTTCGCAATTACCGTCCTTTTTTAGAAATGTCACGCTACCCTTGTCTTCACAGGTCTAATTCACAGACGCTGTAACAACCTTGGTATAATTACATTTACTTGTTGAGGCAAATCCCATCTTGGAAATGCAATACCCATTCTAAATTAATAGTCCTCTCTCCTTTCTGCTCATGGCGCCTTGGTTTTACTATCCATAATGTTTGGGTCATAAAAAATGCAAAAAGAAAAAACATGAAAAAGGAAATCAATTGATATGATGAGTATTTTCAAGTGGACTGATGAGGTATTATTAAGTTATTATTATTATTATTATTATTATCATTATTATTATTATTATTATTATTATTAATAATAGAACTCAATGTGCTCGAAATGCAAAATAAAAACAAGCCAGTGTTGCATTTTTACAGGTAACAGTTTTCCTCATGGTCATCACAAGGACAGGAAATCTGGAGATTCCGTATCATTTTCAAAACAAGAAGGCTAAAAGTCAAAATCACAGCTTGTTATTGTCAAAAGATCACAAACACGGTAAATATATTTAATATAAATGTGAGCAAGGCAAATAAAATGAACCTGAACCTGAAATTTTTTTGAAAAAATATGAAAAAAAGCTGATAAGCTTTAAAAATAAATAAAAATGCTTCCATATTTCCGATTGAAAGATTATCTTCATATGTTCACAATAAAGGAAGTGACATCACATGTTGACAGCGTGGCTCAGGCACGCCTCCCTGGAAACAAGGAGAGTGGAGAGGGCATGAGATAAACCGTGGTAGATTCGGAAGCAGTCGTTGGATTGGCATGGCTGTGAGCTGCTCAGCTGCTCTACATCCATGCAGCTCCTGCCTGGACGTCTGCATTCTCTACAGAGAAACACAGCCCTGACACAGTGCCGGATGGAGTAACATTGAGCTGTGTTCTCACAGCATGTTGCCGGGCATTTGGCAGCTAGAGAGGGAATAATAAGGAGGGACAACCTTACCACACACTTGAGCGATGTTCTGTGAGCTTCTCTCTGTCTCGTTTCAGAACGTCAGGCTTTACTGCACAGAGACCTGGGACTAATGGAGGGATGCCATGATGTTACTCTGCGTTTGTCATGCTTGAATCACAGCTTCATATATCCTTTTGTGTCAGAGACCTTATTGTCTTTGTCTGTCACTGCTGCCAGATCAACTGTGGGGTAGTGTGGTGGAAAGATCCCCCTCCTCAGCCCCCCTCTCCCTTGTTTGTGCCCCCGGCTTTTCATCACTCCCAGCTCGCTCGTGTCTATTTACCTCTCTTAAGCTACCCCCCCCTCTCTGTTAAGCTCCGTCTTTGGTTCTCTCCCGCTCCTCCCGCTCCTCTCTGCTTACTATCTCCTTCGCTTTGCTCCTTCAAAGCAGGCAGTCTGCAATTCTATCCCGGCAGGTTGCTACATGATCTCCTGGAGAACAGTTTTTGCCGCTTCTTTGCCTCCTCTCGATTCCTGAGCACTTGAAGAATTCCATCTCAACACCGGCAGGATGTTCCTCCGCGAGGATTGATCCCCATCCACCCCCTTTTACTTTCCCCTTCCCCTCCCTCGTCCTGATCTCCTGCCCTCTGACCCTCACCCTCTTGTTCTCTAACCCCACCCTCCTTGTCCTACTCGCCCTTACCCAGAGCCTCTTTCCCCCATAACCCATTTCACCCTCTTGACCATGTTGCCATGTGTCTGCTGGCTCCAACTTATCCTCATCTTACTGTCCTCTGCCTTATGGACCCGGGGGGAGAACTGCCCAGTAGCCTGCCTGTGCCCGGACCCTCACACTGTGGACTGCCGTGGCCGTGGGCTGACCCGTCTCCCCAATGAAATCCCCTTGGATGTGCGCAGGCTGTTGCTGGCGGACAACTGGATTCCTCGCATCCCCTCGGACTTCCTGGTTCTGTACAGTGACTTGGTCTACCTGGACCTCCGGAACAACTCCCTCTCCAGCATCGAACCGGGGACCCTCAGCACCTCCTCCAGGCTGGTCTTCCTGGACCTGGGCAGCAACAACCTGACTGAAATCCCAACAGGGACTTTTGGGGAGTCTCGGAGCTTGATTAAACTGAGGCTGGGCAACAACCCATACCTGAGCATGGTGAGCGAGGATGCTTTCACTGGGCTCACCTCTCTGAGGGAACTGGAACTGGAGCGTAATGCACTTTCTACGCTCCAGGTAGGGGCGCTGAGTCAGTTGCCATCCCTGCGGGCGGTGAGGCTCGAGGGCAACCCCTGGCTGTGCAACTGCAACTTTGCCAACCTGTTCACGTGGCTGATGGAGAACAGCCACAAGCTTCCAAACGGTGAGTAGCTACATCTAAGATCCATTTGCTTTCCATGTGTTTCACCCAAATAAAGCATATATCAGCATAACACACAGCATTACATCAACAGTATTATTACAATCCCTTTCCATAACACTGCTCTAGTCTATTTATGTTTTCCCTGTAGGAGAGGGAACCCCCCTCCCTCTCCCTTGTTCTAATTTTGTCTCTTTCTTTCCTCACTCCCATAGCATATATTGTGTGCGACTGGGTATGTAATATGAGACAATAGCACTTGTTGAAAGTAAAAGCTGCAAGTTTGCTTTGCTCAGAGTTAAGCATTTTCCAGTAAGGGAAAATAAATGAAATAATTCATATTAAGAATTTTAGATTGCAGTTTTTCTGGTTACACATTTCACCATACAATGCCCTTTATCCTGCGCGGTATAGTCAAATCGATCAATTGACCACTTATTTTTATATAATACATATTTAAATAATACTTTTCTTTGGTGGACACTGTAATTCTGCAATATTATGAATAGTTTTTTGCCCAGCTCTGGAAATGCATCCCATTTATCCAGCTTCTCTGCTCTGCCCATGTGATGTTTTTAGGCCCATACTGTAGACTCTGTCTACCACTGTGCTCCTGCCTGCAGGCTCCAGTTAGATAACAGAGCTGAAGTTGTGGTGTGCTTGAGTGTGCACGGGAATCTGAATGTGTGCATGCATGTCTGTTGAACAACTCAAGACAAAGAGGATCACATGTCTCTGTAGAATATTTTTTCTCTGGGGTTGGATCTGCTTAGATGGAGCTGATTGGTTGCAGCATCCAAGGATGGAGTTGCAAAATATGTCCTGAATAAAACACCAACCATCACAACCTTACTTTGCTTGTGTTAATATTACTGATGTTGAAATAGATTGTATAGAATATTTATAACACCTGTCAGAAGCAATTTATTCTTAGATAAATATTTATTCTTTTTTTTTCAGAGAGAACCGTAAGTGTTTTTACTGAAGGTCAGCCATTTGTGTATTACTAGGAATGCCCTTACAAAGGACACTGACAGCAGTTATCTCATCAATACAAGCCAGCACGTGGGAACAGGGGACGCAAAAATAAACACATCTGACAGTTCAGCCACACATAACTACGAGCTCGTGCTGTTATCATATTTATATCTGTGCAGATTTAATGCATTGTACAATTCTGATCTAATCTGAGAATTTAATATGAATATGTCTTGCAGTGTTATGACATATCCCTAGGACGTTCAAGGAGTATTTTATTCAATATAATTGAGTGTTAAACACAGTGCAGTGCTATGTGTACAAATAAGGATTGTGAACGTTTAAACGTATTATTCAAAAGTTTGTGTGTGAGATGTCGACCTGAATAAACAAAGTACTTTTTTTTAAGGGCATAAAATCAGTGAACAAAATGTTGTGACTCAAATTTGTGACTTTTTTAAAACTTAACTTATCTGGTAAGACATCCAAGCCTCAGCATATGGATATGGCATACACACATAATGCATCATATTGGAATTATACAAAGGATTTCATTACAAGTTTGGCAGTTTTTCAATTTCCAAATTAAAACGAAAATGTTCTGGCTCGCCATAACTTTTACTGTGCACCCCTGCTGCTGCAAACTGCTGACAACACACAAAAGCCAAAAACCCTTACATGCATTTGGGCCATGGTGTACCCTGCTATTGATACTTCTTTCTCTTTCCTCTAAGGGCTTCTGCCCCACAAAAAGACAAGTTTAGGTCTGTGAGGAAGAAAAAGTTGATAAACTGGCAGGAATACCCAATTCCCCTCAGTCACAGGCTGCACATGCATTAATCACAGGTTCTAAGTGTTGTCAACCGCAAAGCATAATGAATTGCATTAGAAGTGCTGGCCAGGGAGACATCAACAACACAGAGGAAACCAAATACCTGGCCAAGCTGCGGGCATCGCTGCCAACTGGCCACGGTGTATAGACACTCTCAAATTGAGTTAGTAATGTGTATCTCACCTCATATGCAGCTCTTACATCCCCATCAGAGAGTGTTTGCTTTATGACCCCAGAGACGAGTTCACCAATTTACCCAGCGCACACACACACACACACACACACACACACACACACACACACACACACACACACACACACACACACACACACACACACACACTTTATTTTCTATAATTTATCATCTTCTTCAACCAATATATTTTGCCGGGATATATTTTGCAAATAACTTTTTAGCAAGAGGAAAAAAATATATTTTTTCCCTCTGAGGCTCTTTGCTTTCAAAGCAATGCAAATCACCTCTGTGTGAGGTCAGAGAGGACAAAAAGATGTTTCACTGATCTGTAAATATCCACTAAAACTAGTTTATGTCTTCCTTCGCATGGCAGATTTGTTTTAATTTTCTTACTTTAAGACAATGAAAAGTGCCTCTCAATTAGCATATTGACAATAGAATATAGTGCACATCTTTTTCAACCCATGAATTGGCAGCTTTGACATATACTTCCTGTATGCTCCATCACTATTTTGAGCACTGCACAAAAATCTGTTTTGTCGAACAGACTTCTGTTAAACAAATACAAAGTAGCAGGGAAGTTTACCGTGTAGCAAGTGATTCACAGGCACCCGTTGCCTTTGTCCCCTTTAAGTGCAAATGTACAAACACTGGCGCTTCATACACGCAGACGTCATACTGCCAGACCTAATTACCATAATGACTGAGCTCTCGATAACGGGAAAACATGCGATGACCTATTCCCTGCAAACTGTGTTGGAAGTGGTTACAAAATAACAGATGGACTCTCATTAGTTAATGAGGGTAACTTGATAATATTTTCAGTACACATTGCCTCTAACCACCATCATGAGTGTGGGTGTTTTAACTGAATATCTCATTCTTCATCAAGTAGATTAATTACAGACGCAGGAATTACTTTTGTATTGTAAATCAGGGTTATTTTTCCATCCGTGTGGGTGTTGCATCCTTATGTCTGATTCATCATACAACAAACCAGGCCACTAAATGACTGTTTAAACTATATATGAGTGTGGCCTCTCTAAAAGCCAAGAGCTCCACTATCATTCGAAACACATAAAGGTTAAAGCTACGGCAAACAAACCACGCATTCCAAGTTCACATAGAATACAGCAAAATACAGCATCAACAGAATAATTTAATTCAATCTTCAAGTAATTAAAAGATTGTCAATCAAATATGACAAATGGGTACTGCTATTTTCAAAGTCTTCATCCTGTGGTTCCCTCCTGCGATGGCCTGCATAATGTAGCAGCTGCAGAGCCCGTGCTGAAAAACCCAATTCCCTTTCCATTTTTCACTTCCTGATTTCCCCTGTGATTTGAAGTTCACAAAGTAGCGTGCTCTTCTGTTTGCATAAGTTTGATTACTGCAGGTCAGCACGACGAGTGGGTGGAAGATGCTCTAAGACTCAGGACTTGCTTTTGGATGGAATAAAACAGATCTCTCTCCGCACGGCAGTCTCCTATGCGCAGCAGAAACACAAATTACCGTCCTTCCTTCTGCTCAGTTTTGGGTACCATTTGTACGTTTTAAGCCACCAATCATGTTCATAAATGTTTTAACGGATGGATGAGTGTAAACTAGATCCACTGCTGTCTCCAGTGCTCTTGGGTTAAGGATGAACAAAGGCCATGTATAATTTAGAGTGACACAGTTCTACGGCACATTGGCCAGGGTAATTGGAGCTAGAGCTGCCCACAGGCAGGACAACTCCCATGAGAGTTTGAGGCTGAAGCCCTCGCAGCATTGCTATCAACACTTGTAATGACCTGAACAGTTTTACCACAAAGTAGCAGTTCATGTGACAGGGTCGAAGTCTGAATTTTCCTTCACGGCCTATCAAGTTGCTCCCCAGAGACCTGTTACCACACGGCAGGAGCAACTCAAAATATGACCAAATGATCCTGCCGCACACGACACTATCTGCTATCTTTACTTGAGTATGTGATGATAAAATATCCACTCCATTTCCACAGGCTGACAGCTTCTTTTATCTTGGCCTAAATTGACGTTTATTTAAAGTTGGGATGTGAGAGCGCTGGAAAGAGAGTGTGAATACACTGTAGGTGGACAGAATTACAGAGTGTGATAGCGTCAGCCGCAAGTACAGAAGCAGAATGTGCCAGTCAAAAATTAAAGGTGAAAAGCCATGGTTTATTTCACCAGCAAATGTGCATAACTGAAGATGATGGATACTTTCTGCATGTGCTGCAGCGCGAAGCATAAATCAACAAGACGTGCATATTTACCTGTTTCATTGTAATGAATAGCGATGGCAGATAAAGTGTTTATTATTCAGACGAAAAGGAATCTACTCATTGTATTCATACATCCCCTTCATTCAAAATCTCTAGTACCTGGGAGTTTTATGTGTAAATATGTGCTTTTGTGATGATACATCTTGAACATGCCCATGGTACAGTGATGTCAGTGAGTCTCCACGCAGAAGGAATTCCCTCCTGAATGATTCACGCTCGCCCCACTGTCACTTGAACGCTTGTCATTTTGTGCATTGACACATTCTGCTCCTCTCCCACTCCTACTCTGCCCCTCGTCTAGCATGAATGTCTCATCATCATTTTCCCTTCAGATTTCCTTCAGAAGAAGCTGCAGAATTCTCTGTAATTATGTCTACCTGGTTCTTTTTACATCCACTGAGAATTGGACCTGAGCAGCAAAATCTTCTCATTTAATAAAATAGAGAGGGGGGCAGGTTTGTGAGTCATTTGCACAACTGGATTAAAGGAGAAGATGTAGGCAGGAGATGTTACTCCTGCTGGTGTCTGAAGATTGTTCTGATGTTCACCTTTGGTGCAGAGATCAATCTGGACAGACAGTGTGGTGTTGAGGGAGGGAGGAGACACAAGCCTCCAATATCAGTGTGTCACAGTTAGGTAGATCAATCACGGCTGAGACAGCGGATAGACTATCCCCTCGTCTGGCTGTAATCCTAAATGTAATCCATCAACTGTC